TATATATATATATATATATATATATATATATATATATATATATATATATATATGTATGTTGGCTTCTGGAAAAAAAAAGACAATGGAAATGGTCAATGGACACAATACCAGTCAAAATGGGATCCACTGTCCAAAGTGGTGAAGAATGTCCTTCCAGATACAAACCGATGATATGGTTGGGGCCAACCAACCCCAAAATGTGATCATTGATTAGCAGCAAAGGACAGCTATCAGGACAAAAGGTGGAGAAATTGGAAAATGGAAGAACTAGAGAGAGCTTGGCAGGTAAGGGGCAGTAACCCCCACACTGTAAAGTGACTCCAACAGATACCCGGAGAAACGTCAAACATCTCGGTCCAGGAATGCACAGTTCTAGAGAAGCTCCCAGGCCTCAGGTAGAGGACCCAAGCTTAAAATGAAGAATACTTTCCTAAAGTTGCTCATAATTTTAAGCACCTTAACACTACGCCATGCTGGATTTCTTATGTAGACACTCCAAATAGTAAGAACATAGTGACGGTCATGTTATTTGATGACTGGCTTTTAAAGCACATATCACTTTAAAATAATAACTATCCTGAAACTGGGTTATTATTGTTGAAATAAGCAATGCTTTGCTTTTAATGTTAAAAAAAAAAAAAAAAAAAAAAAAAACATCTTGCTGCTGTCACTTTTGTGTCTGTGTTAGACTATGGTTACCTTTTATATATGTGTACTTTTGCCCCAGTGACAGCTTATCACTCTGCTCTGAGACTTATAGTGGATTTCTAACCTGTTGCATTATTGGCATTATGGGTCTGCCTAAAAACGCTGTTATTGGACAAGTCTGGTTTAGACTGGAAAGTTTTGAGCCTTTAAAAGACTGACTTTATGTCCAATGTAGGTGAGTCTGACTGGCCAGACAACCAATAAGTACTCTTTCCATTTCATTATTCCTTTTTTAAACTAAATGTTTAGACTGAACCTTAAATAAATCCCTTTGTCTCTCCCTCCCCCACAATGTAGAACACACTTTAAAAATCTTGCAGCTTGATGGCTGCTTCTCCCTGACTGATATTAAAGATGCATGTATGGACATAGAGGTGTTGTTTGTAAAGTGTGTAACATTTTAAAAACATGTTAACTTTGTTCGTGGATTTGATATTTATGAAAATTTCCGACTTTTTATTTTCTCTCCAGAAGCTTTTTAATTTCAGTGACTTTCAAAACTTGACTGAACATATTTAGGTCAAAGGTTCTATTTGTATTTTCCGTCTTATGTTGCCCAGGGATTGATTGACAGACCTGTTCAGGGTATGCCCTACCAACTGATAGACAAAGTTCTACTTTGCAACTGACAATAATGAAACCTCAAGTATAAATGGATGAATAGGCCAAAATGTGAATGTTGTCAGTTAAGTTTATGTGTTTTTGAAAGAAGAACTGGATGCTATCAGCAATTCTAACAACCATTTATTGGCCTCTAACCTTTAGGTATAATAAAATGAAACATTATCAGATTTAGGATTTGTGATGTTAATGACTCCACCCTTCACACTCTCCCAGCACAGAGGCAACTTCATGATGCAACTGTACGAGCACTTCGACATGGAAGGTGATATGATGGAGCTCACGGAAGACTGCTCAAACCTTACAGGTCGCTTCCACATCACCAACTTCAACTCATGTAACGTCCTTGATGGCCACTGGCTGGCCTATGAGCAGCCCAACTACAGGGGGCGCCACTACTACTTAAGGCCTGGTCAGTACAGGAGCTTTACTGAATGGAATGGAATGAACTCCAGGATTGGCTCCATTAGACGTCTCATTGATCAGTAAGGACAGGACAGGGCTCCTCACGAAATGCCAATGCATTGACCTGTTTCACACGCTTAATAAAAAGACATCAGTGCACAAGTGGGTTTAGCTTTGTTCATTTAAAGGCTGTCTTCCTCCAGGAAGATCTAAGATGGTCTAAAAAGCTGACTCACATCAGAGGTCTAAATAAAATGTCAACACCAACTTTTATCATGTTCTGAAGTATCATCTACATACTGTTTATATCTTCAGTCGATATTCTCCAATCTCCTAATTTGCTGTTACTGAGAAAGA